AAGTGATCCAAGTGATCTGGGCGGGTCACTTGTACAAGCAGCCTGAACCTATTTAAAAATTGCCAGCGCTATGTATTGTACAAGTACTCCTGAAAATGTCCTGTATCGGCTAGAGCCGGATTAAGAGCATCATGGGCCTGGTGGTACTGTCGGTCGGCCAATCAGACGGGAAGCAGCAGAGGTGGCTATCTAATTAGTAGACATGTGCGATTCGTTCCTGAAATTCGTAGATTCGTAAGCATCCGAAATCCGAATGGCAGTTTCCGAAGTAAAGTTACGTAAATGTGCCGAAACGAAAATCCGTATTTCGTACGAATCCGAATTGAGTTTCGGATACGAATTACGAAATACGAAATAACAGATATTCCGAAACGGAACAAATTTTTTGACGGCGCACAAGTCTACTAATTAGGCGGCCGCTCGCTACTCTCCAAGGCTCCATGAGGCCCCATTGAGTGGCCTCCTACTATGACGGATTAGAGAACCGCTGGCGGCTTTTTCTGATCCTGTTCAGCCCGGCCGGCCCAGATTACTGTTGGGTACGGAGGTTATCTGGGCTGGCTGGGAGTATTTTCAGTGGCTGGCCTAGAGCTGGTGCACCAGTAGCCCCTATGTTAGTCTGGCCCTGGTATCGGCATCGATACCGGTACTAGTATCAGTGCATCCTTAGTTTAATCCTTGGATCATGTGTGATATTTACACCAAAGTATACTGAAACTGTTACCTATTAGGCAGCTGGTTGTTTATGAAGCTGAAACTGAAGATGTTTCCCTTTGGTCACCTTGTATCTCATACTGAAGCCGAATTATCCCAATTCATATACTGCAGACCTATGCTATAAGAAGATCTTCTATAGCTCTGTGTACTCACAGTTCTTCACTGTGGACATAAATCTCTGTTTTTTGGGCATAGCGTTCCCCTCCTTCTTCTTCATGCTGGTGTAGAAATCATTCAGCATTTGCTTCTGGAAAATGACGACTTTCACGGTTTGGACAGATTGGGGCGATTGTGCAAAATCAGCCACCGATTCTAAAATAGAGTCGGCCACCGTCGATGAGGACACACTACCCACACCTGCAACACAGACCACAATATGACGGATTAATACAACTCACCTCTGATAGGCCTTTGTTTTATGGATCAAGGAGAAAAGGGTTAGATCCGGTGACAGGTAGTAATACCCGTGTTTCCCCATAAATAGGACACTGTCTTATATTTTTTTTTGGCTCAAAAACACACACTAGGTCTTATTTTCGGGGTCGGTTTTATTTATTTTTTTAACGTACAACAATCCGCACTTATTCATGTACAAAAATATGGTGATCAGGGCAATCAGGGGTGCCGTACCTTTCCAAGGGCAATTTGCTAACCAATCGCTGGCCAGAATGAGCGAAGCGCATTTTCACTATGGATTCCCCACAGGCGGTGTGCATTTGGTATGACTCCGCCTGTGACAGGAGCCGGCGCTATAGAGGAGGCACCGGCTTATGCGGCTCTGCTCCCTCCGGTGCCGCCTCGCTTCCTCTAGCGCCGGCTTCGTTGGCACCGCTGATTCTCTCCCGCGGCTCTTCAAGTTCCCCCTTATGCCACCACCGGCCCTGGGAATGGTCATAACTAGGTCTTATTTTTAGGGTAGGTCTTATTTTCGGGGAAACAGGGTAAGAAAACTGCTTCCGTAAAAACCCAAATTGGTAGCCAACTGAGCCATTCAACGCTGTGCAGTTTTATTATTGTAAGATGGCGGACCAATTTGATCATAAACTGGCAAAGAGACCTCTAACCTGTTCACTCTTAATAAGCAGAGAGCGTCCTTTCCTTTCCAGAGCGCGGCTCTCCTGCCCATGGACCAGTAGGTGCTGATGCCTCTTATTGGTGGTGCAGAACACGGCCCCGAAGGGTGCACCTTAGTATTATGATGTTGGCACCTCTCTTTGGACTTTACTAACTTATGCATTATAGTTTCACTAATGACACCACCCATACATTATAGGATTGGGCTTTTAGTTTTAATAGGATCTTACATCTGGGATTTCACATATTATATTAATGAAGATACAATATAAATAACTGTAGAACAATCTCATTTGGTTTCCAACAATATGACGGATTAATACAACTCACCTCTGATAGGCCTTTGTTTTATGGATCAAGGAGAAAAGGGTTAGATCCGGTGACAGGTAGTAATACCCGTGTTTCCCCATAAATAGGACACTGTCTTATATTTTTTTTTGGCTCAAAAACACACACTAGGTCTTATTTTCGGGGTCGGTTTTATTTATTTTTTTAACGTACAACAATCCGCACTTATTCATGTACAAAAATATGGTGATCAGGGCAATCAGGGGTGCCGTACCTTTCCAAGGGCAATTTGCTAACCAATCGCTGGCCAGAATGAGCGAAGCGCATTTTCACTATGGATTCCCCACAGGCGGTGTGCATTTGGTATGACTCCGCCTGTGACAGGAGCCGGCGCTATAGAGGAGGCATCGGCTTATGCGGCTCTGCTCCCTCCGGTGCCGCCTCGCTTCCTCTAGCGCCGGCTTCGTTGGCACCGCTGATTCTCTCCCGCGGCTCTTCAAGTTCCCCCTTATGCCACCACCGGCCCTGGGAATGGTCATAACTAGGTCTTATTTTTAGGGTAGGTCTTATTTTCGGGGAAACAGGGTAAGAAAACTGCTTCCGTAAAAACCCAAATTGGTAGCCAACTGAGCCATTCAACGCTGTGCAGTTTTATTATTGTAAGATGGCGGACCAATTTGATCATAAACTGGCAAAGAGACCTCTAACCTGTTCACTCTTAATAAGCAGAGAGCGTCCTTTCCTTTCCAGAGCGCGGCTCTCCTGCCCATGGACCAGTAGGTGCTGATGCCTCTTATTGGTGGTGCAGAACACGGCCCCGAAGGGTGCACCTTAGTATTATGATGTTGGCACCTCTCTTTGGACTTTACTAACTTATGCATTATAGTTTCACTAATGACACCACCCATACATTATAGGATTGGGCTTTTAGTTTTAATAGGATCTTACATCTGGGATTTCACATATTATATTAATGAAGATACAATATAAATAACTGTAGAACAATCTCATTTGGTTTCCAGCAGGAAAGGCCACGGATGTAGCCCGGAGTCCAGCGCACTCAGTCAGAGCCTCAGTAATGAAATGTTTTATTCCCGTGGCTGAATGTGCGCCGGTCCTATGGAGGATTTTCTTGCAGCGAAGATTTCCATTCTGTGTCACAATATGCTCTTTATTCCCCTGAGATCCTGTAGATGAAAAAGACAATCCAATAAGAAATCCGAACACCCGACATACAACTTGTACAATGTATCTCTGTATCATCCCATCACATTGTCTCTATGAGGTGTCATTAACCCGGGTGTGAGCGCTGACTCCCGATCACCAGAGTACAGAACAGTGAGCAGCCGGGAGTCTCATTTCACACGCAGACGGGGAGGAAATATTGTAAAGTTAATATATATTCTTATGGATGATGAAATGAAAAGAAAAGCTGTGTGGTTTCATTAGAGAGATAATCTATAAAAAAGTCCCACAGTTAATGTGTAACCATCAAAACAAGCCACTGCAGAGCCCCATAACCCAAGGTGCTGGATGCTGTCCCCGTAAAGTGTGTATCCCAGTTGAGCTCGCCAGTCGTGACAATATAAGATCACAGAGAACAGTTCTATTTTAAGCCAAATGTCTATAGGGGTTTTAGACTGATATATTATATGTACACTATAACTGTGGTGGACAGAAGGTGCAGATGGAGGATACTGTGCCCCTGGATACACATGAATGTATATGGAAGCTATGTATCAAGTTGTAATCTCAGCTAGTTTAATGTTTGATACTAATATATTGAATTTCTTATAGACAAGTCAAGCACAATAGAGTCATATGAAGAATATTTCATCCTGCGAAACGCGTCACTATTTATCGTTGTGATACAGCACCATGTCCAGTCTTCCCCCGTCATTGAATATCCATATCCATATGATCAATCTATGATGACACTGTAGACTTTGAACTCGGTATTGATAGAAGGTTGACCTGGTGATGGTGTAATTGCGCTAAGTTATACATGTTGGGGCACTTTTTAAATGCTGATTTTATGATGGATGTTTACAGTATAATTGATATAGCTTAATATTTCTGTATATATTGACACACGTTGCACTTACTACACCTTAAAACTCCCGGTACAAGGGCTGCTTTGTAGTCAAAGCATTTGTCTTCTAGATGTGAAATGAGGGATGCGGTGTAGTGTCTATGGTGCTAGTGTGAGTATTGAAGATTTTACTTCAAATGTTAAAGGAGAACTATGAGGGGGAGGGGCTTTTCACTCACCTCATAGTTCTAGCCGACCTGTGACAATGAGACTGTCACAGGTCGGCTCAGTAGATCGGGAGGTGAGAGAACACATACCGGCGTTCGCTCACCTCTCGATCCTGTCACGGGCTCTCTGCCGTGACAGGGGAGGGGCTGGATTCCCCTCTCCCCGCTCCGATCTGCCAGCGCTGACTGGCGGAACGGACGGGGGAGGGGGCGGGTACAGCTGGCTCTGCCTCTAGATAGGCAGAGCCAGCTGTCACTCACGCAGCTGGGCGGATCCAGACATCGATGTCGGGATCCGCTCCGGTGTCTCAGTATATAGCTGTAGCTCCCTATATACTGAGCCTAGGGTGACGGGAGGACGCTAGTTTGTGTCCTCCCGTTACCCTGAGGAGGACTATGGGGGAAAACACTGACCCCATAGTTCTCCTTTAAAGAAAAGTGCATTGAAAATATCAATCTGAAAGGTTGGCTTTCATTTTTCAAATGTTACAAAGAATACAAAAAGGAAGTCAGAGAAATAAAGTGGAAAGACAATCCTAAAAAAAAATTCTATAGCAGAAATGTCAAGAAGGTTGAATGTTATAGAGTATGTAAAGTCTGAGTTTTCTTTTAGTTTTGGATGGAGTAGGGAATGCCTATGACTCCATCAGGTTTACTTTGTTGCCTGTGCCCAGTCAAGTAGATTTTTTTCACTTCCTGTCCCAGAGACACAGCAGGAAGTAAGAGAAGATCTCTGCAAGGCATGGGGGTATCATCTCCTAGAGGAGCATTGGAGGCAGACATCTTCCTCTGAATATTGGGGGGATAGTGGAGGCTGCACAGATCTGGAGTCGTTGAGTTGGTTGTTCTGTACGTGATCCTCGAGGGAAGGATATTTATCCCACCGCCAATATGGCTGCCAGATATTACAATTACTATTTGGGGCTTCTTACCGAGCCGAGTGCACTCATCCACCACACTCTGTCCCGCAGCATCCAGGATGGCTTTAGACACACCTAGGAGGGAAGAAAAGAGCATGATGAGAATCCAACGAGGGGCCTTAGCGGGAGCGGACAATGAAGGAGGTGACACACGGGATGAAGGCAAAGTGTACTGGACTGAAAACCAAATTGTATTACAGATGACCATCTCTGGGGCTTGGAATAAATCGTGGGGGGGGAACGAAAGTGTCTAAAGTGATTTATCTCTCCCCCATTAGGAGATACCTGATCGCATGGTGAATGTCTTGTCAGTTGAGTTGACAATGACGTCAGTGTCCTCCTTCGTTACGTCTCCCGTTTTCACTTGATAAGTGACCGATCCGACCTTCATTTCATGAGTTCCGGCCACTGGAGTGCTCACTGTACCAAAGAAACCTGCAACAGGCAAAAAGAAGAGGAATTATCCCAAACCCAGAACTGTGCCACCGATACTCCCGCTCTGGAAATCAGCACGCCGAGCTGAAAACAACCGCAGTGCGTAGAGGAATAGGGGGTCCTGGTGATCTGAACATGCTACTCTTGGTGAGATGCCTGCCTGTCTGTGGCTGTGCTCACTCACCTGGACTGGATCCAGCACCAACTTGTGAGCTGTGGGAGGGTCCTGGAGCCGCCATACTGCTCCGAGTTCTTACTGTGGCATTTCGGTCCATCCGGCTGCTCAGTTCCTTGGAAAACTCCTGAATGGGATGAAAGAAATAGCAATGAGCTCTGTTCTACCACAATATACATATATACTGTATACCAGCATGGTGACTTAGTCTTTAGTACTTCTGTGTTGCAGCACTGAGGTCTTCATGTTTGAGTCCTCATCAGGACGCCATCTGCAATCACTTAGTACATTCTCCACAAAAGGTGTCACCATTTCCTCATTCAGCTTTACAGCTTCCTGGGTGACCTGCCTGCCCAATGGGCAATATGTCTGCAGTATGATGCTACTAGTGAGCAGTCCCACGTGCATCTACTATATAGTATATATCTACTATATCTACTTCTAACAAATGCACATATTTGCTTTGGCGTTCCACTGTATGATCTGAGCGAAATTATGATATTGTACAAAGAAAATTTCTGACATCCTAAAAAACCTGTCACTGGTAAGGGAAGAAGCCTTTCACCGCACACCTCACCTCCTCCATACACCAGGCCAAGTCATGAGAGTTTTTGCTCTGACTTCTGTTTGTAATATACTGTGTGTATGCATATACTGTATAATATATATACACTGAGTGGCCAGATTATTATGACCACCCCATCAGTACTTGGTTGGGCCGCCTGGTGACTCCACGAGATGATGAAAGGTGACCCCCATTAGGAGATACCTGAGCTCATGGTGAATGTCTTGTCAGTTGAGTTGACAATGACGTCAGTGTCCTCCTTCGTTATGTCTCCCGTTTTCACCTGATAAGTGACCGATCCGACCTTCATTTCATGAGTTCCGGCCACTGGAGTTCTCACTGTACCAAAGAAACCTGCAACAGGCAAAAAGAAGAATTATCCCAAACCCAGAACTGTGCTATTATTCTTCCTGAACTCACACAGTGCATAGAGGAATAGGGGGGTCCTAGTGATCTGAACATGGACATGCAGTTACTTCTGCCTGCTACTCTTGGTGTGAGGTCTGCCCACTGTGGCTGTGCTCACTCACCTGGACTGGATCCGGCACCAACTTGTGAGCTGTGGGAGGGTCCTGGTGCCGCCATATTGCTCTGAGTTCTTACTGTGGCATTTCGGTTCATCCGGCTGCTCAGCTCCTTGGAGAACTCCTGAATGAGATGAAAGAAACCGCAATGAGCTCTGTTCTATTACACCACAATATACATATACACTGTGTACCAGCATGGTGGCTTAGTGGTTAGCACTTCTGCCCTGCAGCACTGGGGTCCTCATGTTTGAGTCCTCATCAGGACTATATCTGCATGGAGTTAGTACGTTCTCCACAAAAGGTGTCACCATTTCCTCATTCAGCTTTACTGCTTCTCCTGGGTGACCTGCCTGCCCAGGGGCAATCAATCTGAAGTATGATGCTTTCAGTGAGCAGGCCCACGGGCATCTATACGCTTCTAACTAATGCACATATTTGCACACAGGGAATTTCTGACATCCTAAAAAGCTTGTCTATTCACAGATAAGGAAAGAAACCTTTCACCGCACACACCTCCTCCATACGCCGGCCAAGTAATGAGTAAAGGCTGCTACAGAACCTGGTGGGGGGCCGTATGTGTGAAGACTTCAAGATCCAGCATTCCCATCATTCTTGGTGAGAAGTTTCAATGTGCATAGGAGGGTATGACAGTTATAGGGCAGGTCCTGCAGGTGTCTCCCTGTCTGTAGATCTGGGGAAACATCTGCCCATTGATGTCCAGTCTTTGGATGGCCATAGACCCCAGAGGATGGCTGGATGTGTAAGCACAAACACTGGTAGTCTTTCTATTTCCAAGAGAAGTCATCAGAAAATGTGGTCCTATCAATCCAATCAATCTTTCCTCTGAAGATTGATTATTTGGTGGTGTCTACTACTGTCTTACACACAGGATGTTGACACATATGAATCATACATTACTGTGGCCAGTTATAGTCTTAAGTAGAAACTATAATGGGTTTGTGTCAATTTTATCTACTTTTTTAAAAATTATATAAGCTTTTAAACCGATGTTTTCAACCTTTTTGTTACTTTGTGTATACAGTCTTTGTTTTACAAATAAACATTTAATACGTGAGATTCCCAGAGCACTATGAGTTATCAAAAGCGACAACTATATAGATGGATATAGAGCCCCTGCCTCTCACAAACCTTGTACAGAGCCATATTAAGGAAGGGGGGGTCTCTGCTGTGCAGGTAAGGGAGGGGAAGGAGTCATTGTTTTTTAGGAGAGAAAAGAATCACTGCTCTGGTGGTGTAGCAGTATCAGTTTGGGGAGAGGGAGGGTGAGCAGGAGGAGACACTGAAGGGAGCAGAGTAAAGTCTTTGCTCTGACTTCTGTTTTATATATATATATATATACACTATATTGCCAAAAGTATTGGGCCCCTCCCCCTCCAAATCATTGGATTCAGGTGTTCCGATCCCCTCCAATGGGGGCCGCTACTATATACGGTATCAGTTTTAATGTCTGCACATGTTACATGCGGCAACTGTCACCCATTCAAGTTAATGATCGGGTGACAGCTGCTGCATGTACACGCCTGCACACCGCATGTAATCGTATGTGAAAGGATTACATGCAGTTAGGAATCAATCACTCTCTCTGGATACACAATTGTGTATCCAGGTAGAGTGATTGTTTTTGTAACGGCATGTAATCATATCGCATACAATTACATGCGGTGGGCAGGCGTGTACATGCAGCAGCTGTCACCTGATCATTAACTTGAATGGGTGACACTTGCTGCATGTAAACGCCAGATTAGGGATTACTGCTGCAGGAAAACGCAAGTTTGTGACACAGGAATCCCCAATTGTACCTGAAATATAGGTGTGAATGGGACCTAATATACACACAGAAAAATAACCGGAGCTGAGAACTGACAGAGCTCCTGCCGGAGCCGACAGGAGCAACTCTGCGGTCTGCATCCGTCAGGCCACTTAGTACTGGCTTGCGGGCCGGAGTTGGTCTGCAGGCCGGTACTTTGAGACCGCTGTCTTAAGGCATCAGCACACCAAGACATTTTGGACAATTTCATGCTCCCAACTTTGTGGGAGGAGTTTGGGGATGGCCCCTTCCTGTTCCAACATGACTGCGCACCAGTGCACAAAGCAAGGTCCATAAAGACATGGATGGGGGGAGTCCTGACCTCAATCCCATAGAACACCTTTGGGATGAATTAGAGGCGGAGACTGCGAGCCCGGCCTTCTCCTCCAACATCAGTACCTGACCTCACAAATGGTCCAACATTCCCATAGACACACTCCTAAACCTTGTGGACGGCTTCCCAGAAGAGGCGGAGCTGTTATAGCGGCAAAGGGCGGAGCCAACCCAATACTGAACCCTACAGACTAAGACTGGGGGGCCATTAAAGTTCATGTTCGTGTTAGGTTATTTTTTCCTGACCATAATAAATAAAATATATACAAAACCACTGTGTATTCCCTTCAAGAACTTGCTGGTTGACCATCTGACCCATAACGGAAGCAGCAGATGCACCCTGAATCATACTTTTTTTTAATAGGATTGGGGTGACATCGAGTCCAACCTAATCCTCTGATCGGGAATTATTATTCATATTAAAGTGAACTTACCGATATTGTTTCCTTATCACTGGGATGCAGAATGAAGCACACTTCTCTCAGATGTTGGGGGTTACTTTTGCTGCTAAACTTGAGAATCTCTTCAAACATAAAAGTGGCGACAGAACTTTTTGGAAATCCCAGAACTCCGGTCCCGATGGCCGGGAATGTTATGGATCTCATTTTCCTCTTCTCTGACTCACACAAACAGCTCCTCACGACTTCCCTGAAAATCTAAAACGTAACACAATTATAAAACGATGATCAAAAACTGAGCTTGGCGGAGACGTGACCAGTCAGGACTTCAGAAGGAGACAACAAACCGACAGACAACATGTAAACATTGTATTCTAAGATCGGACCAAGTGTATTGTAACAATTCCCTCAAATCATTTCATCGGTTACAGGAAGAGTTCTCTATACCGAAACAAAGCTTTTCCCGGAATGTACAACCGTGTCATGCAATAGGCTCCCAGGAGAAGGATCCGGGGATGTCTGATGGTACAAAGTGTATTATCTCTTCTATATCCAACAAATCAATCCAAAAATATGCCCCGAAATGTAGAGGGCAATGGTCTCTGAAGACATATGATGTGATGCTGAGGATGATGAGGTCTGAATATGAGCCTCTCACAGAGGAACTCCGAAGTATTTAGTGCCCGTAGGACGTATATAACTCCTCATTCACTTTACAGAGCTGGCCTTCGTTCTAACAGTACTAGATAAGGACCCGTGAGACACATCCGATCTGGAGAGGTCCCAAGTTGGGAAGATGTTCAACATAATAATGGGGCATCTGGAGGTTCCAGAAAATCAAGGTGATAGAGACTGGGGCTTAAAAGAATTAATGTCACCACAATGACCAACATTGGGAGAATTGATATGAACAACCAAATTGAATTTGAGATCACAGCAGATGAATTTTGAGCACGGGGGAGCTCTAAACAAGGTCCAAAAGATGAGGACAGGAGGGCTTCCGATACCCGGTCTGGTGGGAATATAAAATATACTTTACGCTCGGGAATGCCGAAGTAATATTTTGTATGGCATTGTTATCTCTTCTCTTTCTATAACCGGAGGTATGGGATAGATTAGAATGTGTCATGCTTTATATCTGTACTGTTGGGTTTAGGTTGGTATTTTGGGGGATTTAGTTGTTTGGATGTGGTTTTCTGTGTATTGGGATGTTTGTCAGGGAAACAAAACCTTTTTCAATTCATAAATTATGGGGAAAAATGTAATCTATAAATGGCAGCTTATCAGTCCTTAAATGTGGTGGCTGCGTTAGTTTTAATTTTGCAGGCCAAGAACATTTTCAGCAAGTACAGAAAATACCTGTTGATCCTGCTAGAGCTCCAGTGTCCTTGTCACTTCCTGTGAGCTGAACTGAAATCTCAAACAATGTTAGCAGCTGTCTCAGCTATTTTATGTGAACTTCAACACACCCCCATGTAATGAAGCAGAGAAGAGGGGAGATGTTCTGTAGTTCTAGGGTGACAACACTGCTCCTCCATGGATACAGTACAGTGATTAAGTGTTGTCACCCTAGGACAGGTTGTGTGATACTGACAGGATCACCAGGTGAAAATAAAGGAAAAAAGCCTAACAAAAGAAAAATGCAGCTAACGCCTCTAAGAACCGGTGATCTGCAATGTATGACATGTATGATTAATGGTGTAGATATGCTTACATTTGTTAAAAAAAATGTTACCTTCTCAGCAGAACCATTTCCTCCATCCCACCGAGGAACCACAACGTGAATAACAGTCTTACAGGACAGATTGCAGCCCTCTGTGATGAACACCGAACCGTCTTCCACCTGAGCTCCAGAACGGACTTTATTCAGGCATTGCTGAAGCTCGTCCCCGGCCTTGTCTAAAAGAGCCTTCGATGCTCCGCCACTGCTGAGTCGTAGGTCATTTCCCACGCTGTTTACAACCGCATCTGTCTGAGAAACATCACAAATCTCAGGTACACAAAGTTCCCTCCAGGTTCAGATATGACGGCTCTCCAGCATTGATCTACTGAGGGCTCATTGTGATTGCACCAGATAAGCAAAGGTGACAAGCTCCTTGATCTCTATGAAACAGGAAACAGATGGAAGCATACGCCCCTAGTCTTCTAGAGATGCCTTCATCTTTCCAACCTTCCCAAACCATTATGAAATGTTATCTCACTTAACCTGATAGGACAAGTCTTCTTGTACACAACTCTTCCCTCTCATGCCATCTCGCTGCTGTACAAAGTGCCCCTAGAGGCAGCACATGTAAATCCCCCGGACACCTTGCTCCACTGGGAGCAGGAAGTGTCTCACACTTTCGCTAAAGAACACCGATGTAAACTCCTCTACAAAATACTACTACTTTAGAAAATAATTTTAATCTCCTAGTCTGGTGGTACAGAGATTCAGTGTGCCTAAATAGGTGGGGGCATCCGAACTTCCCCACTGTGTTGGAGATGCAGACTGGCTCCAGGCACACTTCCCCATAGATGGTGGCAGTGCTCGCTAATTAACCCTATTGGGAAAAGTTATCAAATTATTAGAGAAAATCACCATTGTGACCCTTCTACAAGACCTCCCCCCCCCGGGACCTCTTTTTTCCCCAATGCACCTTGGCCTGCCCCTATATATAGGAAATCATTGCTACCCCACGTCCTGAACGAGGCCAAAAGCCTGATCCCAAAATATTGGAAAGCTGTAAATCTTCCCGGATATTGTACAAAGTATGTACAATAAATTCAGTGATAGAGGTTATCCTAAACATATACTTGAACATACGCTTGGAGTGGCCAGAGATAGGTTTCGTACCCCTAGACCCAAGGAGATGTGCTCTAATGATACCCTTTTTATAACTAAGTTTAATCCCTATTCATATCAGGTTAAACGTACGGTAGAACGTAATATGAATATCTTAAGAGCTGACAGGACTTTGGCTCCTATTGTCAAACACACACCTTGTGTTGTTTATTCCGGAAATAGATCTTTATGTGACTATCTAGTCTGTGCTGACCCTCATTCTAAATATGGCACTGTGCCATATAAATTGTTTACAAAGCAGGGATGTTACAGATGCCATAATTGTAGCGTCTGCAACTCCCTCATTACTGGTGACTCATTTTTTCATCCGTATACAGGGAAGAAATATTCTATCCACAGCTACTTCAATTGTGTGTCTGAGTACTGTGTATATATATTAAAATGCCCCTGCTCACTGGTTTACGTGGGAAAAACTATATCAAAAACACAAAAGTGATATCAAACTAGCAATCGAATATAAGCAACAAGGAAAGGAGATTGACCCAAATAAACCAGTGGCGATACACTTTGCACTATTAAATCACCAGACACACGAGCTCAAAGCAATGGTTATCGAACACGTACCGAGACCGCATAGAGGCGGTAATAGAGACAACATATTACGTAGGGAAGCCTACTGGATTCATACGTTGAATACAGTAAAACCAAGAGGACTCAATTCCTCTTTATCCTTGTCCTGTTACCTAGTTGAATAGGTTGCCAATGTCAACTCTCCTGATATTCATATCTATATGATTATTTTTTCTTTATGATTATGTGTACCTAGTCATTTATCAACATTGACGTTTCATCTTAATATATTGGAGAATTTTTTGAATTTTTTATATCTATAGGATACCCATCTATGCATTTATGTGGGTTATCCTTATGTAATTCATTTATGCCAATTCTTCAGTTATTTCTTTTGATATACTTCATAGTCTTGTTTTATGTTTTATTTTGTGTATGTGTCATATATGTATGTATTTTGTATTATCCCTTTGTATGTTCCCTGGTTTGGTTCCCTATATGTGAATATATCACTCTTATTAATATTATTTTCTTTTGTGCACACCGCAGTCCTATATCAATTATTATTATATTGCTTTTCTTTTGCCCCACCTTGATCCTGGAACGTTTATTGCTGTGCTCGTGGAGTGAGGACATCAGCTCTCTTGTACTTCCCACACCCAGGTTGTAACTCTGACATATAGCCCCGGCATCTGTGCCGTATGATGATTGAAAATTGTATCTCTCCATCACCTTAGCAACCGATGACGCGTATTGTACGCGCCGACATATGAGGATAAGGGGCGACACTGTATACACTGGTTGGGGATGCTAGATGGTAATGCCGCTATCTTTGGACTGGCGTACATATATGCAGTGGCGATGTCGGACACTCTACCACCACAGCGCTTCCTTGGATCATCAGATTGTGGGTACAGTTCATTAACTATCTTTTTGTATTTTTTGTGAATTTGAATATGCTGTTTTTAAATGATATTTTGACTTTTAAATATGGCGTTTTCTCCCGCCATTCTGACATCACTGGGGTGTGGCTATTGATGATTCACTGGTCTTATGGGGTATATATGTGGTGCATGAATACTATCACATTGTCACATCTATCTGCCTTGAAGAAGGGACCCTGCGCGGCCCCAAAACGTCGGCTTTGTTGATTGTCGTGACATAATTGTCCATTAAAAAGGACATATCTATTTGAATAATTTGAGTGCTGGTGACCTGCTTTTTCATTTTCGTACTTTGCACGGTGCCATCCGTGGTAGTCACTACAAGCACCATCATTCTTACTGGCCGGGATTGCTGTAAGGTGTGCGGAGAGCACCTTCATTAACTGCTACCCGGATACTGACGCCCAAAAATGACTGTGAAATGCAAGTAATTGGAGAACGAGGGTCCGTACCTATACTCTAAATCTGACCTATGCTGAGAGGTGTACAGCCAGTGCTGACCTCCTTCTAAAAATACCAGGTACCTGGCTGTTACGCTGAACTAATGGCTTTCATATTTTGAGTCAATGAACCAGAACAAGCATTGGAGGCGAGTAAAGAAAATCTCATGAACCCCAAATAGAAGAATGTGTTCGGCATTGGATGGTTACGGCTGTTTTGGAAAAGGGAGATGAATACATCCCAGGAACTGTGTAACACATCAACAAATCTCACCAACTAAAGTGCAGATCCTTTTAATAGGGAACAAAATAAAGATACGTCATTCACTCACAACTACAATGTCATAAAAGTGTAATACAGCTCCGGGCATCCTCCAGAGGGAGCTTGTGGCCATTGGCATGCCACCTATTGTGGTTCCTGTAGTCCACACACACTTTGCAGGTTTCCACCTATTTTCATAGAAGCATTCCGCTGACCACGAGCTGCCTGTTATTTTATATCACACAGCAGCTCCTGTGTACAATGACACCTGCAGATAGTCTTCAAGTATCACTGAGTATATACAATGTCACAATGTATTGCTTCCTTTTATTTACTATTTTATTCATATGCAGATCAAAGGTTTGGGCGGCATCACATAAAGAAACCTTAGAAGATAAATTGTTTAAAAAAAATACAAAATGTATTCCTATTTCATCCTTTACTAACCCTTAGTTAACCATAATCTCCCTTTATTAACTCCTTCCTCCCCTCTTCTCTTTAGCTATTATTTTTCTGCAGTTTATTAACCAGTTGACATCCGCGGTGTTAAACCCCCTTCCCATCCAGGCCATTTTTCAGTATTCAGCGCTGCGGTACTTTAACTGACATTTATTCCGTCATGCAGCGCTGTACTGAAATGAATTTTATACCCTTTTTTGGGGACAGATAGAGCTTTCTTTTGGTGGTATTTATTCACCACTGGGGGGTTTATTTTTTTAAATCCTTCGCTGACTGTAATGACGATGTTTTCTTTGGTCATCATCTGATTGGTAGATACATTCCTCTCATAGACTCTCTCCTTGGGGAAGGGTCTCTCCACCTTCTCAGGTCTTTTCGCTCTATATTGCGGAGCGGGTTCAGCTTCCTCCTCTCCAAACTCCTTTTTCAGAGTGGAGGCGAAGATTCGTACTGTATTCTCATTAGTGTCCACCAGATGGATTTCTTTAATGGTGGAGCTGCCTTTAGGTTTGTTGGCCATGTATTGTTTGATGGCTTGTATTATGTTCTCTGCACTTTTATCTACAGGACACCCAAAAATACCCGAGCTGACAGCTGGGATTGCTATGGAGCTGTGGCAGTACTCCTCAGCCAGTGCTAAACTGCTGGTTATGGCTTTCTGTAGCAGACGATCACATTGTGTAGCTGATGTGGAGTTCCACCTGGGCCCAACTGTATGTATAATCTGTTTGCATGGCAATCTACCAGAATCTGTTGCTACCGACTCACCTGTGGACAATTTACCTTCTGTCTTGACAATGTGATCCGAATCTTCTTGTAGTTTGGGACCTGCAGCTCTCAGTAAAGCCGCAGCCAGGCCCCCAATATGCTTCAGCTCCTCATTGGCTGCATTAACAATGACATCAACTTTGAGGCGGCACAGGTCATCTTTATGTACAGAGATGACCACACCATTTGGAAGATTTACTTGGCATTGTGGTCCTTCCATCTCTTCAGTTTCATCTTCTTCAGTCTCTTCTTCCTCTTCCTTCTGAAAACGTAGGAGACATCTGAATGTATTCTTGGCCATAGTGATATAAAGGTCTTCCTGTTCCAAACAAAACTTCTTGGCTCCGGGTTTATCAATGTACAGTGTGTCAGAGAAGAGGGAACGCAGGACGTCACTTATACGGGTGTAGGCTTTTGATACGTAGGGCTTTGGGCCTTTCAAGCGTATATTTTTATTACGGATTGCCACGCTCAGGTTATCACTTTTCAACTCATCCAACACTTGTTTCTTCTCTTCTTTGAGGAACTCTATAACTACCAGAGATTTACACTGAATGTTCTTTTCCACTGGAGTGTTTTCCTCTAGAAAGTCACTGACTTGCTGGTAACATTTCCCCACATTGGAAGACAGACCAGCGATGACGACATTGTTCTCTGCTCCAGAAAGTGTCTCCAGTATCAGCACTGTGCTTTTTTCTGCATTACACGACTCAAGCAGATATGAATGAAAACTTCTCCACTCAGGACTGTTAAGGACACTCTTTTCCTCCACACAAATTTCTTTACACACCAGTTCTTGTTTCATTTGTTCTTCAGCCTCCACCAAGTCTTTCTTTGAGTAAGCCGTCAGTTTAACATTGTCATCATCAATCTCCAGCAGTGCGTTCATGTTGTGACGTACAAACAGCAGACAGGACAGTTCCTCATTATCGGTGGATGTCAGGAACTGAACGAGATGTGGATTCATTTGGATGGATTTACTTTTCATTTCTTGTTTGAGGTCGAGTATCTCACACTTGGCAGTGAGCACCTCATCTCTCAGTCCTGATAGTCGGATCTCCTTTCTTGGCACATCATAGTCAATCTTCAGCTCTGGAACTTGGTCCAGTATCTTCTTCTTCAGGCCGCTGTTACACATGATCTGATAGAGGGCTGGGGACATGGATAACGTCTCAGTCTTGCCTTGATTCTTTCTTACAACCTGTTTAGTGGTTTCCTCCACCAGTTGTCTGAATGTCGGGTCAATCTTTGTAACATCCTTTACAAATCCTGCCAGGAAAACCTTCGTTGCAGCTATGTCAGGTTTGATAAGAACTTCGTTATATGTGGAGCTGCTGACATGTTCTCTAATAGCATCCCAGACCGACTGATCCATTTTATATTCTATGACTTTGTACTTGGATATGAGACGAGAGAACTCTGCATGGACCGTGTAGTTCCATGTTGGGACAAGCTTTGCCAATGTCCTGAGATGAGTAGAGAGGGTGTCAGGAAAGTTCAATGTGATTTCGGGGTTGGGGCAGAGTAGATCCGGCCATTTGATCTCACATGTATGAGCCTCCATTGTTGTTTCCATGTTGTCTTTTTGTTGGGCGTTACTGACGATGAATTCCAAAATGTACGGATTTATTGGGAAGGTGAGTGGCTCTGGTTTTTGTATGTGGGGTCTTTGCTTTCCATAAAGTACGATATCCTGTGAGGGATAATACGGATACACAGATACGTCTTTCTTAGAAAACTGATGCTTCCTTCCCAGAACTTTCTTAGCAGCTGCACAAAACACAGAGGAAGAGAAGAGTCAATAAGAATTTCATTGCTGGGACATGAAGAATATTCTACACAATATGTCACTCATTAACACGTGTTGTCATGAATGGTGGAATTTGGGGAACGAGGGCACGTTTTTCTCTACCACAATTATAACTCTTCACCAACACCCTCCTCATGTCACAACACGCACACATCCATCTCAGGTGGATTTTTTGCCGATGTAATCTCTCTATAGTTACCGATTATTTTCCTTTCACTTGTCACATTTGTGTTTGTTGAGTTATTTCAAAGTCATTTAAATTGTTATCATTACTGATTTTTCTGAACCTGTCCAATTTGTTTCCTTTTTCAGTTTGACCTCAAGAAATCTAGAGTTAGGACTTACTGGTAACCCTATTTCCAATAGTCTTCCAGGACAGCATCTTGAGATATGGAGGCTCCTCCCGATCCCACAGGAAACACGTCACCCTTAACCTTTTAAAAGACCCGCCTTCTAACCAGCACATCAGTCATCACGAGAACCGAAGGCAAACTGGAAAAAAGCAGAAACAAGCAACACCACCGAAAAAAAACATCAATACAGCAAGCATTCATGGGTGCTGCTGTCCTGGAAGACTATTGGATATAGAGTTACCGGTAAGTCCTAACTCTAGATTTCCCCCTAACGTCTTCCAGGACAGCATCTTGAGATGATAACCAAGTACTCACCAGCCTAGGGTGGGACCACAGCTTGCAGCACTTTGCGCCCAAAAGCCTGATCCCTGGCTTTGAATTGAGGTCCAAACGATAATGTTGTACGAATGTTGAAAAACTAGACCATGTGGCAGCCTTGCAAATCTGTTCTGGGGAAGCCCCAGCCCTTTCGGCCCAGGAGGCTGCAAAGGCTCTAGTCGAATGTGCATTAACGAGGCCAGGAGGAGGAAGGTTCTGACCCTGATATGCCTCTATAATGGCCTGCTTCAGCCACCTAGCTAATGAGGCCTTGGAGGCCTGTTTACCCTATGATCTACCTGAATATAAAACAAACAAGGCATCTGACCTCCTGAATGGCTTTGAAACCTGAAGGTAATGTAGGAGACATAGCCTTACGTCCAAACAGCTGCAGGCTGATTCCCTTGCATTTGCAGGCTTTGGACAGAAGGTAGGCAGGACAATTTCCTGCGACCTGTGGAAGGTAGAAGATACCTTCGGTAAAAAGGCTGGATCGGTCCTTAGGACAATCCGATCCTCGAAAACCAACAAAAAGGGCTCCTTTACTGACAGGGCCTGAAGCTCGAAAATCCTATGGGAGGTAATGGCAATGAGAAAAAACGTTTTCAAGGTGACATGCCGCAGGGACGCCTCAACCAAAGGCTCAAAGGGGGACACAGTTAGCCCCTGCAGAACCGTGGATAAATCCCATTGAGGCATTGTCCTAACAGGAAGTGGTCGGATTCTCCTGAGGGCTTTGAAAAACCTGGAAACAAACACATTCTCAGCCAGGGAAATCTGCAGAAACACACTAAGTGCTGACACCTGCACAGTACTGATAGCTAAACCCTTATCAGCACCCGCCTGAAGGAAATCCAGGATGGCCGGAATCCCCGAGTCCCTATTGGACCTACGTCTCCAAGCGTTAAATGTCTTCCATACCTTGCCATATACAGTATCTTCCTAGTTACCAGCTTACGGCTATGCAGGAGAGTATCGATCACCTCAACTGAAAATCCCTGTCCCCTCAAAATGTCCTCCTCAGAAAGAAGGCCGTGGGTCTGAATCTGTTCACCTCCGGATGTAAGACTGGTCCCTGCGAGATCAAGTCCGATCTGACAGGAAGAGTCCAATGCGGCCGATCGGTGAGGGGAAAGCAACACAGTGAACCAAGCTCTTCTCGGCCAATAGGGCGCAATCAGAATGAGCTTTGTTCCTTCCAGCATAAACTTCTGAAGGACCCTTGGTATCAGATGTATTGGGGGAAACGCATAACATAGGTTAAAGTCCCAGGGATTAGACAGTGCATCCATTGCCAGGGCAGCATCTCCGGGATGCAGGGAAAAGAATTGATCCACCTTTGCATTTTCTTGCGAGGCAAAAAGATCTATGGACGGAGGACCCAATTTTTCCGCCAAGAGGCAAAACACCTCTTGGTTCAGACTCCAGTCGTCCCGCATTATCTGGTGACGACTGAGATAATCCGCTAGGAAATTGTGGGTACCCCTCAAGTGAACCGCTGCCACCAAGGCCAGATTCCCCTCTGCCCAGCAAAAAATGCCTCTGGCAAGGTTTTGCAGAGCAGGGCTCCTTGTGCCCCCCTGTTTGTTCAAATACAGTACTGCCGTAATGTTGTCTGAAAACACTAACAGATGATGACCCCTCAATCTGTCCTGGAAACTCAAGATAGCGTTTGCGATAGCCTTCAATTCTCTCCAATTGGAGGACATTCTGGCTTCCTCTCGAGACCAGCGCCCCTGAGCCATCTGGGACTCTAAATGTGCCCCCCACCCCCAGGAACTCGCATCCGTTGTGAGCTTCACTGAGGCGAGAGGCCTCCACTCCAGACCAGACTGAAGATGAGCCTGTGTTCTCCACCACCACAGACTCCTCTTCACTGAGGCAGGAATCTGAACTAGTAAATCTAGACTGTCCTGATCCCGATCCCACTTCTTCAAACAAAAAAGCTGGAGCGGGCGCTGATGAAATCAGGCCCATCTGACCGCTGGTAAGCAAGCGGTCATGAGGCCCAAAACGGACATGATCTCTCTTAACGTGATCAACCTATTTCCCTGCAGCCGACTGACTGCAGCCATCACCTTCAGAATCTTTTCCCTGGGAAGGTAGGTGCTTTGTCTCACTGTATTGAGAACGTAACCAAGGTACTGGATTTCCTGGGAAGGAATTAGATTGGACTTCGGAAAATTCAGTATCCAACCCAGATCTTGCAGCCAAGCCTGCGTTACAGCTAGTTCGCTCTCCAACCTGCTGGCTGAGGCTGCTGACAACAGTATGTCGTCTAGATAGGGAATTATACTGATTCCCCGAAGTCTCAGGGGCAACAGGGCTTCTCCCAACACCTTCGTGAAAATACGAGGAGCCGAGGATAGACCGAACGGGAGAGCCTGTAACTGGTAATGATGAATCTTGGGGCCAATTCTCACTGCCAGCCTGAGAAACTGCTGAAATGCCAGATGAACCGGAATATGGAGGTATGCATCCCTCAAGTCTAGAGTAGCCATGTAGGCCCTGGGCTGCAAGAGGTTTTTGATGGAGAATATCGACTCCATTCTGAACCTCTTGTATACAATCACCCCATTTAATGGTTTCCGATTGAGAATCAAACGAAACTTGCCTGAGGGCTTTTTTACCACAAATACATGAGAATAAAATCCCTGTCCTTCTTCTAACACAGGGACCCGATTGATAACCTTCTGGCGCACCAAATCCCCAGCAGGAGACAAAGAGCTTCTGCTTTGTCCCTTTGTGACCAAAAACAGCTTTGGGGGTACGTCGTTGAACTCCAACTTGTAACCGTCCCTGAGCAGACTTAAAAAAGAAGTCCACTGCTGAATGCAATCCCTGGAATTCATAAAAAGTGTCGCAGACATCATAACATCTCTTGACGGGGTGGGGCGCACGGCTCTGATACTCCAAAATGACTTTGGTCTCGATTACCACCATGTTTCTGATCTCCAATCTGGCGGTATTTGTTAATGAATTTGTCGCAGCCATAGTAACATATTAGAAAAGTGTCGCAAACAATAACTATTTGAATGTGCATGTGCAAGTTGCATGTTTTAGAACAAGCCGAGAAATTGTCGGGCAACACTTCCTATAACAGCAAAAATGCCAGAAATCTGTGGCAAAGGCTATATTCATATATCGTCCCCCAATGGGTATGGCATGTAACCTAGAGAGCATAGACTCAGACAAGAAGAACAAGAGTAATTCACAACTTTTGTCTTCTTTCAGTCTAACCCACACAAATGAAATGAAACCCTATAATTCTAGTGTTCACATTATTGTGTCTACTCCGATACATTTCACTATTCACGTATTGTTATTTTTTCATGGGATACTTTTGTGCCTATAGAAAAAGATGGTAACCGCATACATTTATAACCAGCCTTTATAGCAGGGTGCACATGGGAAGTCTTACAACAATACAATGTTGTAAGCCTTCCCAATGCGGTCACCATCTTTTTCTAGTTTGACTATTTGGGATGTGGGGACGCACTGGGAGTCCCAGCGCGCATTTTTGATTGCCGGGCCTCCAGCGTGTCCCTGCACCTTTCGAGGAGGAGTGGGCTGCCTCCTGGTACACCTGCATTTAATTTAGCGACTGCATCAATATGCTCCCATTTGGAGACTCGTATAGAGTTAGAACCGCACTTTACAGAGGAGCCTTGACGGTGACGGTGCGGCTTCTACATATTTTTGGCCAAAAGTTTGTGCAACTAAAACCTCTGCTTTTAACGCACACTGTTAGACGGGGTAATTTGTTTTGTTGCAGGCCAGCTGGTAGGTGTGCTGGGGACCTTTTTGTGTTTTGTACTTTTGTGTATATAGCCCATTATCCAGGCGGCTGGTTGATGGAACCTATAATTAGGCAGCTCCATAAGCCCATAAGATGTTACAACAAATAGGACAGTATACGTTCCTGGAGTATTTAATACAGGAAGTCTTCACCCATAATCTGCCTATATTTAGTAGTATTAGGCCTAAATAACATAAATCAGTAATGTGATTTTTATTTCTTAGAGGTATGATGGACAATAGACACAGGAATGCCTTGTTTTTGCACGAGATGATCTTCAGAAAGATTATTCATATTAATTAATGATATTAAATTGCAGGTCAGTATTGCGAGTGCTGACCAGCATGACACACAACGTACCTTCCACAGTGGAGAATGTAACCAGTGCGGCGCCCTCTTCAGAAATGGCTAATGTTTCATTGGTTCCGGAACCGCCATGCTTTGGGCTCTCAAAATACAGGCTGATTAAATCCTCAGGTGTTTCGGGGGGGAGACCCTCAACCCTGATAGTTTTAGTTTCTTCCAGAAGCTGTGCCGTCATTTTAAGTGTCCGGACTCTGGAGTTTCTTGAAAATTTTTCAACAATTGACAAAATATCTGGTAAAAAAAACAGTTGATTAATTATCAAATATCATGTATGTTAAATGATTTCTCTGCTAACCGTAAAATTCTTTTCTTGAAGTAACAACATAAACAGAGGTACCGAGCAGAATAGCCGAGCCGAATGCCGCTCAGCGGCCGTTGGCTATTCACTCACTGCCGTTCGAACCCCTATGTGAATAGTGGCGAGCGGCAGCAAGTGAGCTGCCGGAGCTTCGGCTCAGCCGATCCAGATGTTGAATCGGGTTGGTCGAGCTCCTTCTGCACTTCAGCTCAACCGGACATGTATGAGCAAGTTCGGCTGACCGAAGGCAGCAGACGTACGTCTGAATTCAGCCCATGTATGGCTGAAATCAGCCGTACAAGCCAGAAGTAAATAGCCGAACAGCGTTTGGTCACTTCACTTCGGTTGGGTTATTCACTCGGCTGCCTTCAGCAGCTGTGTGAATAACCCAGTAAATGTCTAGAATTGCTGTACATAATGTTGATTTGGCTGTCCCATGTTTACAGATTGGAGGGTTCTGTGGGAACGCTCACACTATCATTAGGGTTATACATTGGGTGATGCTCATAGGTTGGGTGATGCTCATAGGTTGGGTGATGCTCATAGGTTGGGTGACGCTTATAGGTTAAGTCATCAAACCACCATGACTCCAATCATCCTCAGTCATCCCACAGTCACTATAACATGTCCTGCAGCCCCTCCATCATGTCCTACATCATAACATCCTACAGCAGGGGTGCCCATTAGGTAGATGGAGATCTAGTAGCTCTCAGAGCTGATGCTGGTAGATCAGGAAGGGGGGGAATGGCGGCCCCTTTATTCCATTTTGGTATATTTATCTCGCTGGGCACACATGATTACCTATTAGCCCGAGTCTGCTGAGCCGAGCTCCCCGACACCTTTCTGGCGGATGCTGGTGGTTGAAGTGCTTTGTATTACAATATAGCAAGGTGGGCCAGGAGAGAGAGCAGGGAGAGACGGCCAGGAAAGAGAGAGAGGAGAGACAGCCAGGGGAGAGAGCGAAGAGAGACAGCCAGGAGGATGAGCAAGGAGAGACAGCCAGGAGAGCGAGGAGAGACAGCCAGGAGAGTGAGGAAAGACAGCCAGGAGGATGAGCAAGGAAAGACAGCCAGGAGAGCGAGGAGAGTCAGTCAGGAGAGCAAGGAGAGTCAGCCAGGAGAGCGAGGAGAGTCAGCCAGGAGAGCGAGGAGAGACAGCGAGGAGAGTCAGCCAGGAGAGCGAGGAGAGACAGCCTGGAGAGCGAGGAGAGACAGCCAGGAGAGCGATAGCAAGGGAGGTATTTTTTTTGTTGGTAGATCTCATGCAGCTCGTCATTTGAAAAGTAGATCTTAACACAAAAAATTGTGGGCACCCCTGTCCTACAGCCACCAAAAGCCCAATCATATTATGTGTCCACCATGCCTACCATCATCTCCTTCAACCAGCATGTCTAACATTGTGTCCTACAACCTCCCCGATCTCAATGATATCCAGCAACCATCAGGATCATAGTCATGTTTTATGGCCACTGTGGCCACCATCATGTCCTACAGACAACATCGGCTACAATATCTTGAAGACAAACAAATGTCGGCAGATTACCTGGGGATTTGGTGGAAGGATTCACAATGGGATCCTGAAAAAAAAAATAACAAACATTTTACGGAACACAAACGCGTTAACCTTTTATAGGAAGTAGAAGCTGAGGATATTTACAGGAACAATGACCTATATACGTTGTCTTCAGTGCCACTGTCACTGCATTGTATGGACTTACAATGTATACGAGTTATAATGGATGATGTATTCACGAATACTGAGCTGTATTATTTGTATATCTGTCTAGGGTTCATCTTCAAGGTCAAAGGTTAAAGGGAAGTTCTGATATCTAATGTGAGAAGATTAGGGTATGCTTGTATCACGGGGTGCCTCCAGGGGGTTCAGTGTATTGTATGTGTTCCCTGTATAGGTCCCGCTGTGCTGGGGGTATCACAGTGCCCGCTGTGCTGGGGGTATCACAGTGCACTTTTCACCCAAAAAATTGGCTAATAATAAATGTTTTTTTTAACATAACGTGGGGAAAACAGGTTTTTTTCAAAATGTTCGGTAATTTTTTTAAATATATAGTTAATCACTCCCCAGTGGTGATTAAATACAACCAAAAGAAAGCTCTGTGTGTCCCCCAAAAATGATATAAAATTCATGTCAGTCAAAGTACCGCAGCGCTGAACACTGAACAATGGCCGGGACAGGAAGATAACTCCGGAGTTTCGTGACCCTTTAAATGAGGTCAGTATATCTCATACACCAACTTCACAGGGACTGGCCCTTTAAAGAACCACATGATCTCCATGCAATCCCCTTCTGGCCATTTTCAGCTGTAATCCAACCCGACGGGACGGAGGAACGATGACCGCGCTCATATCCCGGGATGGAATATATAGAAGGTAGGGAGCAACATGGATTTCCCCCTCCAGTCCTCAGTACTTACCTGTCTCCTCCTTGTAGTGTATGAGGATCCCCCTCCAGTCCTCAGTACTTACCTGTCTCCTCCTTGTAGTGTATGAGGATCTCCCTCCAGTCCTCAGTACTTACCTGTCTCCTCCTTGTAGTGTATGAGGATCCCCCTCCAGTCCTCAGTACTTACCTGCCCCCTCCTTGTAGTGTATGAGGATCTCCCTCCACTCCTCAGTACTTACCTGCCTCCTCCTGGTAGTGTATGAGGATCCCCCTCCAGTCCTCAGTACTTACCTGTCTCCTCCTGGTAGTGTATGAGGATCTCCCTCCAGTACTTACCTTATGATAATACCCCCCCTCCCCCGGTACCTACCTTTCTCCTCCTTGAAGTGTATAAGGACGTATCCCCGGCTGCAGTCGGTGTCTCGGATCTCACACTCTCCTCCATTAGATTCGCTCCTCTTCTGGAAATACAGCAGAAGTTTATTTTTGAGTTTTTTTAGGCTCTCGGGCTCCTGAGTCCAGTGTAGGGCCACAGGGTAGGGGTACTGTCTGTCCCCCATGGTGTAGAAGGGAGCAGTGTGCAGGGAGTCAGTATGGGGCCCGTCCTCTCAGCTCAATGTCTGAAGAATTCTCTTTCACTTTAATTTCTCGTAATTTCCTTTATTCTGATCTGTGGCCCCTCCCAGTCACCGTCCATCTGCACACACACATGTTACAGTACTGACTTTGGGCGGTCAGTGTGTGCTCCGGGTGGTCAGTGCAGTCTCTGGGCGGTCAGTGCGATCTCTGGGTGGTCAGTGCGGGCTCCGGGTGGTCAGTGCGGTCTCCGAGTGGTCAGTGTGGGCTTTGGGTGGTCAGTGCGGACTCCGGGTGGTCAGCGTGGGCTTTGGGTGGTCAGTGTGGGCTTTGGGTGGTCAGTGCGGACTCCGGGTGGTCAGTGTGGGCTTTGGGTGGTCAGTGCGGGCTCCGGGTGGTCAGTGTGGGCTTTGGGTGGTCAGTGCCGGCTTTGGGTGGTCAGTGCGGACTCCGGGCGGTCAGTGCCGGCTTTGGGTGGTCAGTGTGGGCTTTGGGTGGTCAGTGCGGACTCCGGGCGGTCATGAGAAGCGAGCGGCCCTCTAATATGCCTGAATAGAGGGCCGCCGCTGCCTGACTGCAGCTGGTCACTGCCCCGGATACCGAGGTGATCCGGGTCAGCCGGGGCGGGCCTGGAGCGACAGCTCAACCTGCCCCCTCGTTATTCTGGTCCTGGTCCTCAGTACTTACCTGTCTCCTCCTTGTAGTATATGAGGATCCCCCTCCAGTCCTCAGTACTTACCTGTCTCCTCCTTGTAGTGTATGAGGATCCCCCTCCAGTCCTCAGTACTTACCTGTCTCCTCCTTGTAGTGTATGAGGATCCCCCTCCAGTCCTCAGTACTTACCTGTCTCCTCCTTGTAGTGTATGAGGATCCCCCTCCAGTCCTCAGTACTTACCTGCCTCCTCCTTGTAGTGTATGAGGATCCCCTCCAGTCCTCAGTACTTACCTGTCTCCTCCTTGTAGTGTATGAGGATCCCCCTCCAGTACTCAGTAGGGATGGGTTTGATGTTCGAGTCGAGCAAGAGTTCGACTTGTGGGCCCTGATTGGCTAAAGCCTTGCACCTGACCATAAGTCAGGTGCAAGACTTTGCCCAATTAGAGCCCAGTACTCTGTAGGAGCCATGATTGGGCACAGTCATGAAGACTTTGCCCAATCATGGCTCACCTGCCAGATGCCGTACAACTGTAAACAGTTGGGCGGAGCTAGCTGTCACCGCTAGCTCCTCCCAATTGTTTATATTTTGCCACCATCTGTCAAAATGACATTCTGGGGCGGGAGTTCGTCGCGAGCGGATGGGTCGGCGGGGGCGGGGTTTAAAAAAATCATTATTTCTATTTATTTTTTCTTGTTTCATTTTTTATTTCGTCTAATCGTCGTTGTGGACAACGCTGGACGCCGTGATTGACGCTGGATTACGTCGGTGGATCCATTTTCCTTTTTTTTATTATAAAAGATTTGTCAAAAACTTGTCTTTTGTGTTTTTTTTTTCAATTAAACGATTTTTACAAAAGTAAAACTTTATTATTGTAATGTGAATATTCCAATGAGAACTCTTCTCGGTGTGACGTCGGCTCCCTCTGGTGGCTGCTCTTATATTTGCCGGCTGAGTAGGAAAAGCTGACCCCAGAGAAGATCCACACCCGTGAAGCCGAATACTGGTTGTGGGTGCGTCACACAGCTGAGGCCACGTTCACACAATACGGGGTGTCCTGCATTATGCTGCAACTAGTCTATGTGCCCCGTTCACTGCACGGTTCTGACGTGGCGGAAAATGCAGAAATGCCGCAGTTTTCCATGACGCGCAGGAGGTCAACCGTGCCGCAGAACAGAACGCTGCCCTGAATGGAATGTACACTTTGTACACCCTCAATAAAGTTATAAAAAAAAAGAGGAAAGGATGTAAACCGGGGAAGTGCTGAAACCGTGCAGAAACCCCGCCCCTCCCGACATCACATAGACACTGAATCACGTGGTGACTCTCAGAGGTAGCGAGCAGAATAGAAAAAAATGTAAACAAATGAGGGGAAAAAAAGTTTACGAATTATTTAAATAAATGTAAAAAAAAATAAAATGAAAATAACAGTTAAGAAAATAAAATGTTTTTTTTTTTAACCACTTCAAGACCAGGCGTTACACATCCCTTCCTGGCCAGGCCATTTTTCAGTGCTCAGCGCTGCGATACTTTGACTAACATTTATTCCGTCATGCAACGCTGTACTGTAATGAATTTTAGACCATTTTTTGGGGACAGATAGAGCTTTCTTTTGGTGGTATTTAATCACCACTGGGGGGAGGGGGGGTTTTATTTTTTACTATAATTAGGAAAAATTACTGAAAATTTTGAAAAAAAAAAGTTTTCTTTTACATTATGTTAGGAAACATTTATTAACCCATATTTTTGGTAAAATATAAAAGATCGGGTCACGGCGGTTAAATAGACACCAAACATGTCAAGCTTTAAAATTGCGCGCACCAAAACACAAGCGATCCGCCGGCTCTACAGCCGGCGGATCGCTTGTATGTCAACAGGCACCGCTGCCTGTTTTTAAATTGCGGTCATTTCCCGCTCGCGCGTGCCCAGCGGCGCGTGCGAGAGGGCGTGTCTGAGCGGACGTTTAAAGACGCCCCGCTCAGATCTAGAGAGCTCTGGGCCGGCCGTTTTTTTACTACGGCCGGCCCCGAGGTGGTTAAAGAACAGGAAAAAAGTCATAGCAGGCCCTTAAGGTCTGGTAGGAATTTTAAGGAGGAATGCCACCCCCAAAAATGGGGGGGAAAAAGTGGGGGGGGGGG